GTGCACGTGTGAGTGTGCGTGCGGCACGCTCGCACGTGCACTCGGACACACGTGTGCGCGTGTGAGTGTGCGTGGGGTACGCTCGCACGTGTGCTCGGACACACGTGTGCGCGTGTGAGTGTGCGTGGGCACGCTCGCACGTGCGCTCGGACACACGTGTGCGTGCGGCACGCTCGCACTTGCCCTCGGACACACGTGTGTACGTGTGAGTGTGCGTGGGGCACGCTCTTACGTGTGCTCGGACACACGTGTGCGCGTGTGTGTGCGTGGGGCACGCTCGCACGTGCGCTCAGACACACGTGTGCGCGTGTGAGTGTGCGTGTCATGTGTTACGTGTGTGAACCGGATGGGAACCGGCGGTTCCACTCTAGAACCGTGCTGAACCGGATGGGAACCGACGGTTCCACTCTAGAACTGGGCTGAACCGGATGGGAACCGACAATTCCACTCTAGAACCGGGCTGAAACGGATGGGAACCGGCGGTTCCACTCTAGAACCGGGCTGAAACGGATGGGAACCGGCGGTTCCACTCTAGAACCGGACGGTTCCCGGTTTTCGGTTGGAACCGGCACGGGCACGCGTGTTTTCGAGTCGAACCGGGCGAGTCCGGTTTGACTCGCCGTTTTTTAAAACACTGATGCCGACACATTCTGATCGGATTCGATGGACAATGAAAGATACCCTTAATAAGCTCAGATGCCATTCAGTTTTTTTATTATTTATTTTTGTTTACTGATTTATGTTGCCTTTTTATAATTTGAAAGGTCTTCAATCAGTTTCAGTAGCTTTTTCACATCATTTTTATGCCTAGATTCAGTTTGCACCACAATGTTTTACACTTGTTTAACAGCAAGTGCTATGCTAACAGTTAAGGTATGACATTTACAACTGCATCATAAAAAAAGGCTTCAAACATTCCATGTCAAACTGCATCATAAATGAAGGCTTGAAAACAAACTCTGAAAGGTTCAGTAGATTTCATGCTCCTATGTAAAGGCAATTAGATCTATACAGTATTGAATTCATCCAACAACAAACAGTAGTTCATATTGTTGAGAAAAGATACATTTCTTTACCTCAGACAAGTAAAAAAAACCCTTTGGTAAGTTCTGTTGAAAGTGTGAAGGCGATTAAATAGTTATAAAGTTGTTCCCAAATAAAAAGAATGCCCTTGAGTGCAATATACAAACAAAAAATTATAAAAAGATAATAAGAGCCAAATGATCGAAATTCTCTTCACCTGCGAGACACTTCTGCAACATGATGTTGATCATCTGGTAAAGGTAATTCCATTGTTGTTTCATCATTCATTAACTGCACAATGAACTCACCCGACAAAACAACTTAGATTCTAGAAGTAATTCAATGATTAAAGTGCTCAAATAGGACTAGAGCATACAATTTTTTTTTCTGTTTGGATTTTTTCTATAACGCAGCATAAAAAGGAGTTATTGGGTTTGTTTTCAAGATTCAAAAGGGAGTGAAATCATAACACACCCAAGCGGACCATTTTTATTTCATTGAGACAATAAAGTTTATAGCTAAAAATTCTGTAGGCAATGAGTTTCATGTTAGCAATACTCTATTACACCATGTGATGTCCAGAAACTCTATGGCACCAGGGGACAATAAACTATATGGCTCCAGAATCTACAGCTCAGGTTTCATCAGATCATAGCTCAAATATGATTTCATCGGGAAAAATAAATTCTGCAGCTGCGAATTCCACAGGCAGTGCCGCAGGAGTATGCACTGCAGCCTAGTTGCATGGAGATCATTATATCAATTTCTGAAGGGATGTCTCCAGATTAAATTTTTAGTCTTCAATCCACATCTCAACTTTCTAGATCCACCACGAATTACAGTACAGTTTTTGGTACCACATGCAAGCTGCAGCCAAGTCACTAAAAAGACTTTCCAAGATATCTTTGAAATTTATGAGAAAAGTCATCCCATGAAAAACCAGATAGATAATTTCATTATACTATTCAAGTGTATTTCAAGCCTCTAGTTCATTTCCTCGTCCATTAATTACATAGAAAGTTTCCTTCAGTTTTCCAAAAAATTGGAAATGCATATCTTGGCTATACCTCTTGACAATAGTCCGATGTGTTCTTTCAGTATCAACAACACCTGCATCTTGAATCAACCTTTTTTGGTCTATGTGCTAGTCAAGATTGTTATTTCCTAAGCAACCATAACATCAACTAAGTATTGTGTTAGCCATAATATTATTTTTCACAAATGTTCGTGCAACTATGCATCTGCACATCTGTTGAAAGGTATGTATACGTGATCCGCAAACACTGTTTTCTGTCACTTCAGTTCTTTGAAATTTGAATTTACTCCTACATTTCAAGTGAAAATACTATTGAGAATGGCAACACAAAACCTCCTTTTCTAGTTTTTGCTAAGGACATGTTTTTTCTTGAATGGTTGAAAAAGATAATAGCAGCTATTCAGATAAAAGTGACAGAAACCTAGCATATCACATCGAACATCCACATATGTTTTTCAGCAGAAACAGCTAACATAAAATTTCTTGCCACCATTTAAGGTTTGCTATCATCATAAATGACTACCATCTCATAGTGCATGTGCAAAAGAACTATGTCATCACGCTTCCAAATAAGATGAGTTCTCAAGAAGGATTCAAGTAGTGAATACAAGCTGACAAATTTAGATCCAACAATGAGTTCTCACAAAGTATTTTCCCCCCACAAAGAAACAGATTAAAATAACCTGGAAACCATCTTCACAATCTTGTGATAGTTGAAACAGAACGTACTTTACCAAACTTGCTGCAGAGGCTGTCCGTGTCCTTATTTATGCTCCTGGGTGACAAGCTAAGCAAACTATCCACACTCTGTGAATAAAAAATAACGATTAAGATTTATCAGTAATTCATATGCAAAATTATGTTAGAACTTCAAAAGACGTAGGTGTCCATGTGTAAAGACAAAAACCTAAAGACAATATCTACAGCCTGTGCCCATCAACTAAAGGAGAAAGAAGACGCAATGGAGTGTAGCCATTGATATCAATGATCATAAGCTATGTCTACTATTTTAGCAACAATTTCGGAGTAAAGGGACTGGTAATATTGTGCAGAAGAATAGGAGTAACTGCAGAGCTTGACATATCACATGTACAATGATCAATCGCCATAAAGGGCTCTTTATCCGAGATGTACCTTACACTGAATAGATAGTAGTGAAATTTAGGGAGGTAAAATATCTAGAAATTCATTAGCATACTAGGAGTTTCTATCTCATTAATGAACCAAAAAGATCATATGTCCTCTCTAAATGAATTTAATCCAGCAAATAATACACTCACAGGCAGATCAATCTAAACCCTCTTTCACCTCATATGGTACTTTGAATCAAAAGACAACATAAATAAATGCCAAGATCATTTAGTCAAAAAAATTATTTTAAAAAAATCACATTGTTTAAAGTAAGTATTAGAATAAAGACAGCAAATGAACAAACTTTTCTTTACTATTCTTAGAGAAGGATCAAAAAACAAATCATCATCATCATTTTAGCCTTTTTCCAATTAATTGGGGTCGACTACATGAATCCTGGTTCTTCATTCCACTCTATTAAAGGCCATATCCTCAATGAGGCCATAAGTCCCCATATCTTTTCAGACTACTTCCAACCATGTCCATGGATCAAAAAACAAATAATAGTCATAAATAAAAGGGCCCCCATAATTAGATCCGCATGGTCATGATAACCAGCCCTATCTATGAGTTGGACAGTGATGGAGTGGTGCCACCAAACATGTCATTAATTAATCTCTAGAGTGCACCATCCTTCCATCACCGCCCAATCCATTTGGCTGTACAGTGATAATCCACATGTTCATCTTGTTATCATGACCATATGAATCATATTCCATCTTTTCCAAAAGAAGAACATTTGTATGCAATATATGCCACCTATGACGGATAATAATTTCTATATATTTCAATATAGCATTGAAGAACAATTGTCCATAAGCCTAGCCGAAATATAAAAACAATGGTTACTAATATTACAGCCAAGAAAATCAGAATTTGAATATAATAAACCAGTGTTTTTAAACTCAGCTAGCCCTCAGAACTCGGGCCGTGGCCTAGCCTAGTTACTAGGGCGAGTCCGAGTGGACATGACCAAGTCCTCTCGAACAGGCCAAAGAGCCAAAGCACCCAAGAAACCAAGAAAATATCCTGAAAAACCGGTAAAAATAAGGAAAGCAAAAAAATGATAAACAACAGAAAAAAGTTATTAAAAGATACGGAATTTTTTTAAAAAAGTTCTAAAAAATAGAAAACTAAGTAAAGATCATTTTTTGTCAGAAAAATGAGAAAAATCAGAAAAATATGTGTATAGAAACTAACTGTTAGTCAATTATTCAAAGATTTGATCAAATATAAATTCATTCAAATTAGTTATAAATCACTTATATAAGCCCTTAAGTTTGGGGTTCTAGGGTGCGGCACACTGCTGAGCCCAAGTTACTCGTGCAAGCCTGAGTTGACTCACCCGAGTATGAAAACAATATCATAAATGATTGCATTGTGAATTCTTCCAACCCAAAATTGAATGAAATTAGCATTTAAATAGACAAATAGAACTGGTTTTCTCACACTTAAATTTTTATTGATTTACAATATACATGAAGTTAAATGTAGGAAAACATAGACATGTACAAGGACAAGGTCATGGGAATGGGAGATTTCCCAAGCACAAACAATTATTCCTATTTAGTCCACCTCCTCATCAGTAGCTCAAATAACATTTTGAAATGTGATTGTTGACATGTTGTTAATGTCACCAATCTCCTCCAAGAGATCGGCAACCCTCCATGAGCGTGTGAAGTCTTGTGCTCTCAATAACATTAAGTTGTCCTACACCAGAGAGAAACCCTAAAGAAAAAAAATGAAAAATCTAAGACCCATCAAGAGGGCCATTGTTTTAGCTAAAATGTAGTAGCCACACCAGCAAAAACTTTCCGAACTTTTCCTTAGCTATTCCAGAAAATACTATCACCCCAAAAGATTCTAACCTACAATGACAATTGAGGTCAAATCTGACCAGTGTTCCAAAAATTGCCTGGCGGCACCTAGGCGGCCGGGGGGGTCCAGGCCGCTTAATGCCTAGGCGGGTGCTCAGAACCTAGGCGGCCCAGTAGAATAAAAAGTTGTTTTATGGTCAGATTTTATGGAAAAGAAATAAAAAATACAGTTTGATTCCATGCATTTCAAATTCAAAAATCAAACTTTGAAGTTTAAACTTCAAATCATTAGGCATTAGAGTATTAGACCATACTCATAGCATTAGAGTATTAGACCATACTCATAGTCCATACCATAATCCAAACTCCATTCACTCCATTGTCTATATACATATAGACATCAATTCATCATCAAGAAAATAAATGAAAATAAGGAATGACATATAAAAGTTAGGAGGCACATCAAATGTCTATAGTCCGCAAGTCCACATACACTCCTCCATACTAATCTCAAAATCTTCTATAAAACCTCCAATAGACCTATATCTAATCTCAATGGGTGATGTCTACATCGATTTCTCGTAACTTTGAGAAATTCTTTGATCCTATAGAAATCATAAAAATCTAGTTTTTTGAGGTTTCTATCTCTCTACAATGGGCTCTAATGGGGTTTAGGTTTAAAATGAACGTAAACCCTATTTTTTGCAATCTTATTTTTATCAAACAACCCAAAAGTGCATTTTTGCCCCTTGGAGGGGCGTAGGCCTTGGGCGGCAGCCCAGGGGCACGCCACCCATTTTTACCGCCTAGGCTTGGGTAAGGAGCCCAAGCCCCCTGAACCGCCTAGGCAGCCTGGCTTGGATCAATGACACTGACTTCCGAGAAAGATTTCGCCTTGCCTAAAGACAATGTTATGAATCACTATCCTCCACCGATGAGCTAGATCCTATGCACTAATTTCTTAGACCTCCTCAAGAACTGGGATAGGAGTGGCAATGGACCCGGCAGGTTGGGTCCAGGTCCAGGTCCGGGTCCGGATCTAGTAATATGTTTTCATGTCCCAAACTCCCCATTTATGAAGAAACAAATTCTAACATCACCACTCCCTTTTTATTTAGTCCAAAAGCCAAGGACGATCAAGTTTCCCTTTGCATGCTTGAGAAATGCAAGAACTTTAGATAAGAGGAGTCCAATAATTCAAAAATTTCTAGGCAGGGGATTGGTCAGTCCCCATCAAATAAACATGATCACTTGCCAAAAAAAAATCCACATTGTCTCTCTCCAAGATGCAATCAACTCAGGCTAATCAAGAATGGGGATTGGCCAGCCTCACCTACATAAAGAAGCCAAAACACACATGTTTCAAACACCTCGAACGAATGAAACCAAGACTGGCAAGCTACTAACCATCTCATTGGCTCTTCCATGGAGACAACAAAATCCACTGAATAAGGAGCCTTAGGAGCACTTTAATCCCATCAAAAACATAGAAGGCACCCCATGCAAGTTTTTCAAAGCCTTAGGAGCTTGTTCATCTCATCAAATACATCGATGGAACCACAAGCAAGTATTTCAAGTGCAAAACCACAAGCTAGTATGTCAAGAGCAACATTCTAAAAATAAAGGTCTTCATTGACTGTCTCAATTGCACATTTTTATGTTCAATTTAATGAATAAATTTGAGAAGACTTAGGCATGAATGACCTTCTATATAACACAATGTTATATAACCCAAGAAATTTATTTTCTAGAATTTAATCATAGAAAACAAAAATGGTAAAATAAGACCATCTCAAGCCATCCAAGAGAAGTCAATTCCTAACACACCTGGAAGTAAACATCAGATTCGTTAAACATTGACATTATTACTAGTAAATTATTGATAAATATTCAGCATAATGCAAGAAAAGGAATGAAAGAGAGGGCCTAACACTATAATAAAAACAGAGTATACCTTTATGGCATCGTATCCACAATGTCCTGCAAATCCAAATCGATGTCAAGTTTATGAATACACATGTATAGAAGTATCAAGCAAGTGCATATCAAGAAAATTGAGAAGGAAGCAAGGAATACTTGTACCATTACAAAATAAACTACAAAATGCAAGCACTGAAATGCATCATGACTTAAGATGCACAAAATTAATGATAGTATCTAACCAAGAGCTTCCATACCCATGTCTGCATCCAAATAGGCAAAAGAAGTAATAATTTGTTTATTAATATGTTCTAAGGATTATATACAATGCAGTAATAATGGAATAATTACATTGCTCTTTAGAAAGGTAACAAGTAAGATTACATCACCAAGATCCTCCACATATGGCTATGCATAAGATCATAAGACATCATGTTTATGCAGGGTGTGAACTTTACCTAAAATAAAAGAATGAAATTTAAATGATAATAATTATTCCTGCTAATTTTGAAGTATGGAACCCACTTTTGAAAATTGGGAAAAAAAATTGATGACGAAAATAAGCAGTTTGATTTTCTTGCTCATTCTAAAAAACAGTAAGGCTGTTTTCCCATAATACCGTTAAATATAGAATATAAAATTGCCGAGATTTACCTATATCAACAGATCAGCAAAGAAATGGCAACTATACAGGGAACCTTATGTTCCTTTATATTTGAGCTAGAACACGATGTCATCTACTTGTATAGAAAATAATGTCAAAGGAATAGCGGAATGGCATAAATATACATTTTATTTCTTGAGGGTCATAATGATCACCACTAACCAAATGAACCCTATGACCTTAACGTACGACATATACAATCAATCAATGTGCAAAAGACATACCATTGAGACAAACATAATCCAAATTAATCACTTACCAAACAATCCCACTATTTATAGTTTGAAAGAAAGAAATCAATAGTTGCCAAGGTAGATGACCATTATTGCACTAAAAAACTAATTTTGTTGTATACTGAAGTGCCAGTATTATTTTCTCCTCAAATTTCAAAACAAAGAATAGAAGACACAAAATTAAGCAAGGAAAGATATAACAACTTTTTTTTCACTTCTTCAACAATAGCATATAATAGAGAGTATAACTTCTCCTTTCTACCAGTTAGAGAGGCAAACTTACTAAGAACTTTCCTAATCTCATTTTCGTCAAGGTGGTAGCCATCTCCAAGCATTGAAATGAAAAATTCTTCAAGGTCCCACTTGTTGGTGTTGGTAGGACTCTTCACCTCCTCAGAAAACAACGGGGGACATTTTTTAACATCCTCTTCTTTCATAACTTCCTTCCCCTTCCATTTCAAAGAATAATTCACATTTTGATTATTTGCTCTTTGTGGTTCTCTATGATTAGATCCCACAGGCCTTGTATACCCTTTGAGCAAAACACTTGAAACAGTGCCCATAGAGACAGAAACCTTCTTGGGTTTTTGGCTTTTCGAATAATTCTTGAAATGGGTTTCATTTTTCTTCTCAATTACACTCATAGGCATCGATTCCTGTGATTTTGCATCAGAAATTACAGTGCCATGGTTATTATTTTGAAGCCCAGAGAGAATTTCAGCTGCATCAGAAATTACAGTGCCATGGTTATTATTTTGAAGCTCAGAGAGAATTTCCGCAGCCTTGTGCCCATCCCCTTTAGCCTTGCAATACGCAGAGGCTATCTCCTTATGTGGAACCATTGGAAAGGCATCGAGCAACCCGCTCAAGACTACGCTTTCGTCCTCTCCTATGTCAATAGACCTATTGGCTTTTGGGGAAGAAGACTTAGCTGGATTACCCATGCCCAATCCTGAATAAAAGCGAGAGAGAGAGAGAGAGAGAGAGGGGGGGGCTTAGAACAGAGCCACAAGCCATTGAATGAGAATAATTGATATGTAATTACAGATAATCACTGATTTAAGAAATCAAAATATGACAAAGTAAATACCAGAACAAAGCTCAAATGACAAAATAAAGATAAAAAAATATGGATGCTCAGTAAATAACAAGAACATACAAAGAGAAACTATCTCGAAAGCAAGAAACGAAAACAGCAATCTCAGAAAACAAAACATGATTCCTAGTGTTTTGATACTCCAACAAATTGATGATATAGAATGACAAGAAGCCCACATTAAAAAAAAAGAAACAGAGTTGAATTAAGAAATATAAAGAATGCCTACAAATAAATGGAACAAATAATACCCATAAATCAATAGAACAATGAAATAATAACTTTCAATTCCACGAAATGCAAGAAATACGGGGATTATTTGTTGATTAATTATCTACCCATGAAAAATAACGAATAGGTTGAGTTAAAAAAGATTAAAGAATTAAGCAATAGAACAGTGAATTTATACCTTTTGATTCCACAAAATGCAAGAAAAAAGGTATTTGTTGATTAATAATCAGAACTGATCCAACTATGTACATCTATTGTGAGGAAGGATGCATTAATAATCAATTCAACCAAAACGCAATTCATAAATGATGCATTAATCATCAAAACGTGTTAAAAAAAACCCAGTTCAGATATTGATAAGATAATGCCTTAAGAGTGGCAGCAGAGGAGTGAGAGGGCATACCTTATGGGAGAAGATTGCCACCAAGAGAGAGAGAGAGAGAGAGAGAGAGAGATTATGAAAACAAAGAAATGAAGAGATATGAGGGAAACAGGAGGTATATGAATTGTGAGAGAGAGAGAGAGAGAGAAAAGAAATGAGAGAGAAGATAGGCGATAAGGAGCAGAGCAGTTTTATGAGGAAAGAAGAGAGAGAGAGGAGGCGAAAAATGCAGAGATAATATAAAACAGTCTTAGACAGCAGGTATGAATCCAGGGGATGAGAGAGATGAGAAATGCAAGAGATTATACAATGTCTTTCCTTGATTGGCAAAATGCACTATGTTCTAAACTGAGGAGTGAGAAAGTATGAGAGAGAAAGAAACAGCAACGATAAAGGGAATAAGACGGCACAGAGACAGTGAGAGCAGTTGAGTTATAAAATGGCTCGAGGAGAGAGAAAGTGATAGAGAGAGATAATTTAACTGATAAAAATTCTAGAGAGAGAAATGCGGAGAAAAAAGGATCAAAATTCTAGAGAGAGAAATGCCAAGAAAAGGATCAAAATTTTAGAGAGAGAAACGCAGATCACGAGAACAATATGAAATGAATTTAAAAACTGAGAGAGAGAGGAATGGAGCACAATTTAAAAGCTTAGAGAGAGAGAGAGAGGAATGGAACACAATTTAAAACTTAAGAGAGAGAGAGAGAGGAATGGAACAGTGGAAAGCGCGTTCCCAAAACATTGAGAGTGAGATGAAGAAGATGTGGAAAGACAGCGAGAGAAAGTTAGAGAGAGAAAGTGTGATCTCTAGGAAGCTGCCATTTCGCGCTCTTTCCCCGTTAGAGAGAGAAAGGACCGTTTTATATAGAGAGAGAAAGTCTAGTTAGAGAGAGAAAGAGTAAACGAACCAAATAGCTTCCACTCGAAGCCTCCCCGGCAGCGCAAATCCAATGGATATGTTTTGGTACGGCTGCAGTTCTATAAAAACAAGTAAAGCCTCACCTCAAAACTCCACGAATATTGTAGTTCTACTATCGGAAAACCTTATGATTGAACATCTCGCCTTTGATCATGAAGTTGTGAAAAAAAATACGAGTTTAAGTTTTGAAAATAGTGTATATTGCAATACATTTACTAAACTTGTCATTTCACCTTAAAAGTAAGCGTTTGCGGATTCATAAGATGTTGAAAATATTTTCAACTGTTCACTGTTGGAGATTGATTTTGAAGCCATCATGGAGATTTTTTATGCCGGAAGTGCTTTCCGGATAATAATTTGAGGTGTGGCTTTATTTTGTTGCCATAAAAACTATGCCTTACAGAAATTGCATCCTTTATCATTGGGCACGTTTGTTTGGTGTAAAAAGATTTTTCAAAAGATATTTTTATGAGAAAACATGTGGTAAGTGTGGGAATATTTTCACATAAATTAACAGTCAATTAGTGTAAAAATATGTACGAGGGTCAATAGGTGTGAAGATACTCTCAGACCTAATCACATGAGAGAATTTTTTCACATAAAAATATTTCACAATAAATATTTTTCCACAAACCAAATTCCAAGAAAAAAATATTTTTATGTCGTCGAGCATACATTTGCATCTCAAAGGCGTTACATAAAGGAAAAGGTTTTTATAGAGCCGAGGCTCTAAACAATCAAATTTAAACCTACTTCAAAAATTTCACTAGAAGTGGTTGTTTTGATGTTCAGATATTTTCAAATTGATCATCTCGAAATCAAAAAAGCATGGACATGAGAAAAAAATAGATTTCAAGTTTTGGAAATAGTGTATTTTGTAACACATATTTGGACCGTCAATTTTAAGTTTTCATAGATCTTTTAGTCTACAATGTTTTTAAGGCTTTAAACTTTATAAATAACTATAGAAACATATTTTAAGACTATCACAAAGATTTTCAATATTAAAACCACATTTTTCCATACTATTTGAAGCTAGGCTCTAATTTGATTGTTTAGAACCTAGGCTCTACACTAACCTCACCCTTACATACATCTTTAAGATGGATATAGAGTGTCCCTCCCAAAAAGAAAACAATCAACTTTTAAAAATATTTTATCAAATATTTATTTTTTTTAGCTTTTAAAAGTTAATGATTTCCATGCTAGATATTATGTATGCTTAAAAATTTAAGTTCAAAATCTATCTCAAAAAACTAATCATAAAGGGGGATTATTTCTACATATGAGTCCTGGTACTCATAAAAATCATGCCCTTTGTTCAAAATTTAGAATCCATCTTAAAAATAAAGGATTCCGAAAAGGGAACGGAGGCAACCTTATACAAACCACACCCTTCTTGGATATTAGGACATAGATATCATTTTAGGGTGAGGTTTATATAAGATGTCAACCTTATACTGTTTCTTTAAGAAACACACATCTCAAAACCATTCCGAAGGATGTAGTTTTGGTACTAGAATGCCTTATAATGACACAAAAACTATTATCACATCTAATTATAAAATTTAAAGCTACAAAAATGATATATAATGATAAGATCTATAAATAATTAAAATTTTTTAAAATGATAAGTCTAAATAATACATTACAAGATGTACTATTTTTGTAGTTTTAAATCTTTTTTATTTCCTTATCTGTTGAAATTATCAATTTGAGGGTTTTTTTATTTTTTTAAGCATCTTAAAAACTTTTTTGAAGGGTTTTGAAGTGCGCATTAATATAAGTTTGACACTATATATATATTTTTTACGCTTTCTTTTTTGCATGTAATGCCTATATTTTTTTGTTGTAAAATGATTCCGTGCTCACCTAGGAGCATACTATACATTTTCTTCCCCTGATAAAACCCTAGGTGTATTTAGAGGTCTCTACATTGTGGAATTAACCTCTTAAAGCCAGCATCTAACATAATAAAAAATAAAAATACAAAAAAAATCGTATTTTCTATATGCTTGGAAAAATAATAACATCCCATAATTGTACAATGATACTCCAATTTCTGGACAGTGAGTTCCAAGTGTTAAAAAACCCAAAACACAAATTTTTTTTATTTTTTATAATCATCTAGTGATTCTTAAATGGATATGAAAAATTTATACAAAAAAAAATCCTCCCAAGTTGAATAGAATAAATGTACAATATGCTCCCATGGTAGTATATTTCTTTTACTAAAGTAAGTCGCCATCGGAGGTTACATCCCACAATTGTACGTAGTGATTAAGTAATCTGGTCTGATTGAGGTAAACTCAAAATGATTTTGGACCTAATTAAGTCTCATTTTCTTTTATTTTTTTACAAATAATTAAGTCTCATTTTCTTTTCTTTTTTTTTAAAAAAACTTTTTTATATATATAATTTTGTTTCCATATTCCCTAGTCCGACTCAAAGGTACGTAAGTCGGACCAAGTGACTCAAGCTCCAAAAACTCTGTTCACATTTATATTTGCCTTCCTAAACCCTGATTTCACGTCCTTAAAAATGCTCCTGACGAAGATTTTAGCCGAGGGAGTAATATATATATATATATATATATATATATATATATATGAATGGAAAAAAGTTTATAGAGACAATCAACTTTGAACCTATCTCAAAATTTTCACTAGAAGAAGCTGTTTTGATGCCCAAATATCTTCAAATTTGTCATCTCGACATCAAGATGCATGGACACGAAAAAAAAATGGATTTCAAGTTTTGGATATAGTGTCTTTTGTAACGCAATTTTAGACCGTCAAATTTTAAGATTTTCATAAATCTATCGATCTACACTATATTTGAAACTTTAAATTCTATAAATAAATATGAAAATATATTTTAAGATTATCATAAAGATTTTCAATAATAAAACCACATTTCTCGATACTATTTATATATATATATATATATAAAAGGGAAAACTCAAACTCAAATTGCATGAAGAAGACGTGGTACTTTTGAGAACAAAATGCGAAGTGTCTGCTTCTAAAGAATACCTTATTCTTGCTTGAAGGTAATGCCTCATGAAAATAATTTACCTAAGTTCTTTAAACAAATTAGATAAATATAGTTTTATATGGAAAGCTACAATAAAAGGGAGACATTCCTAATATTTAGGTTCTATCAAGCATAGGCATTATTCAAAGCCTAAATCCCTTCTCATGGTACAACTTGATGTTTATTACTTCTATCTAATATAACAAATCACTCTTTTTCCCTTTCTTTCTTCTTTTTTTTTTCTATTTTTTTATAGTTGAGTTGTATGAATCGAACTTGGGATATAGCATTGCTAATGTCAGTTGAAAATGAAGTAAAATCAATACTTAAATAATATATAATTCCTTGAACATCAATTCTATTAAGACAATAAAGGGTCAAATTCGAAATGAAGATATTTGAGAAAATTAGATGTGGCACCAATAAGCGATAAGATGAGAAAGAACATACTTGAATGGATTGGCCATGTATGGTGCATACCCAATACAACACTTGTTAAGAGTTGAGTTAGTTTAAATCGAAGGATAAAAAAAGACAAGATGTAGGCTCAAAAAGACATGGTTAGAAGCAATGATAAAATATACATAGATTTATGGCCTCATTGATGGTATGACCCATAATAGAGCAGAATGACGAACTAGGATTCATGTTAACTGACCCCAATTAGTTGAAAAAAAAACTTTGACGTTGTTGATGATCAAATTATGCATGTTTAACATGTAAACACTTTATTGCATTTTATTACTTTGGAGCAATGGTTTAAAAAGCGGATCGGTGACCCCGATTGGGCACCTCAAAAATCGATCCTGATCGGGAATCGGTGGCATTAAAGCTTAAAAAATATCCGAAAAAATTATTAAAATTCATTATAAATGTTGTTTTTTAAGAATCCAATAAGAAATGAGGGTACTACATTATTAACTTTCATTTTTTTCATCAATTTGTGAATATTGAGATGCTCTTTCCCTGTATAAACTTAAGTATTAAATTTGCATCACATAAAAGAAAAATCATAAAATTATCATGGATAAAATATATAATTATACATGGACTATAGTAAAGAGTAGACCAAATCAATGAAAGAATGACAATTAAAATCTCGTTTTGGCGAAAAACCCTAATCCGCTAAAAAAACCCAAATTATTACAGCCTAACTAACTATAATCCAAAATTATTACAACCTAACTAATTATAATATTGTATACTGAAATTTAGTTTATATTTTATAATTATTTTATTAGATAAATAATAACAAATTAAAAATATTTTATAATATTATCTAATTTGAAATGTGTTATTGACAAATGTAATAAAAATAATACATTACATGATTTATAATGTAAAAATTAATAAATAAAATAAAAGATTTGGTTATCAATGTAAAAATTAATAAAATACGTGCAAATTTTGGAAATAACACTTTAATTTATTATATGCCCAAGGGGGAACAAAAGTTAGCTCAAGAAGGGATAAACTATTTTATGGCCCAAGCGAGGATTCGAAGTTGAGAAGTTAAAGCAAGTAACATTAGTGATAACCATCATGCCTCTTTAGCATATATGTTTAAAATTGCCTACTAATAGCATATATTTACATTCTGTTTTTTTCATTTAATGATGTTTGGGAATTATCCCACATCGAAGGATGAGTATTCAAATATGCTATATAAATAACTATGTAATTGGAAAATAAACACAAGTGTGAAAACACTAGGGCATCTGTGTATGTGTGCATGTGCATGTCACACGTGTGGCACATGCGAGCGTGGTGTGTGTGGCACGTGTGGGAATGTGTACCGCTCGTGTCACTCGTGTGGGAGTGGTGCGTATCGCATGCGTGATGCGTACACACGTGTAAAGGTGCTTTTGAGGCTAGAACGGAGAGGGAACCGGCTAGA